AACTGAAAGATAAACACAAAAAGGATTAAAAGCACAAGTTTAACTCAAAAACATAACCAAATCATAAGCTAGAAGGGTAAGAAATAATATACAATTATGAACCGATCATTATCCACTACAATTTTTCCAACACCAAGACAATGAAGGGTTTTTATTTTTCTCCGTGATATGGTTTCTTTCTTTTATTCACACTTCCAAAATTGTTTTGACCTTTTCACTCATCCATTATCCCACACTCACAGTGAAGCTTAATTTTTGAAGTGCCTTCTGTATTTGGTTCTTCTTTTATGCATTCTTGATATAAACGAAACTCTGTTTCTGATTTTGACAGCAAAAGGAGAAAAAAAAAACACTTGGTTTCTGATTCCGTTGATTTCTGCAGCTGGGTTGGCTTACATGCAACCATTCCACCAACTGGGCTGTGAGTAAGCTTGTCCCACATCGATCCACTGGGCTGTGAGTGAACTCCTTATAAGTCAGCCTCTAACACTCTAGTTCGCCTCGTGAGGACCTTTGTCCCATCGGAAGTGTAAATCCTGAAAAAGGAAAAGAGTCCCATCGGAAAGTCCCTCCCTGAGGAAAAAAAGTCCCATCGGAAAAAGTCCCTCTGTCCCGTCGGAATAAGTCACTCCCCTTCGGAAGCATAGAAAACAATCGGACTGTCCTCCTCCCCATCGGAGGCAACGAAAACAACAAATGTCCCTCCAGAGGCAAACTCCACCGGAAGAGGTGATGGTGGAAGGAGTCCCATCGGAAGCAAAGAAAATAAATTGTGTCCCTTCGGAAGCCAAGAAGAGCCAGTCCTATAGGTAACAAATGTGCGCATGATGCTAGCAGTGAATATCGAAATATGCCAAATTGAGCCTCTACTATCTGTTTGATGAAATGCCTCTGTGAGAGTCTCTTTGTCTTTTCTTCTTTTTTGGGATGGGTCCGCAAATAAGTGTCCGCAAGAGAGAACGGCTGAACCCTAGGAATGAAAGTAGACGTGGTGGAATAGAAATAGGAAACTGTAGAATATAGACGACGTGTTAATCAAGAATTATATTTTGGGTTTTCCTCATGAAATATGGAAACTACATTTCTATAAATATTAAAAATTAAATAAAAAACCAGAAAAATTCCCATTTGAATTGAGTTTCCTTAACCGCCTCCTCCTTCCTTCTCTATAAAACTCGATCACAACCCCGACCTTCACTCTCATATTAAGATCTCCCAAAAACCCAAGTCACAGGTACTTTCTTCAACTTGAACAATCCAAGTTATGTTTTTTTGCCCTTGTTTTCCTTTTCTTTTGTCTGTTTTTTCAAACCAAAGTTTTGGGACAAAGCTTCTAGTGGTTCAAAGTCTCTAGATCCAATTAGATCTCTGCTATATATTATTTTCTTGGGTTCTTCTAATCTAAACATCAAAATATTTGTCTCTCTATGTTTTGTGGAATTATAGAAAATATGGTGGCCCCTCGAAGAAGAAGCTTAGAACTCATACCTAATGAGGGCACTCGGAAGATGACCTTTCGGAAGCGAAAGAAGAGTATATATAAAAAGGCCGACGAGCTTTCGAAGCTTTGTGATATTGATGTTTGCTTGATCGTCTACGAAGCTGATCAAAAGAAGGGGAGGGCAGTTCAACCGGAGACGTGGCCGCGAGATCCAACTCAATTCAAACGCATTCTCAACAAGTACAAGGATTCTAAGGATACGTCCGCGCCCGGATTGAAGAGAACCTTTAATATGTCCGATTTTTATGAGGACAAGAAAGATCACGTGGATGACGAGGACGAAAAGTTTCAAAATTTAGGGAAGAAGATTTCTGAAGACGAGTACCCGACATGGGACGATCGAATAGATGATTTTTCGCAGGACGAATTGACTAAGCTCATTGCTTCACTCGAATCCAAGATACAAGTTGCAACCAAGAAGATTGATTCTATGGAAAGATATATGGGGTTTGCTAAGAAACAAAATCAAAGTTTGGTCCGGGAAGAGACTAATCACGATGAGCAGCCCTATCAAGTCCCTGTTTTGATGTCTCCTCCACCACTTGTGCATTATCCAATGTTGCCAAGTGCATGGGTTTCAAGCTCAGAATCGGAGAAGAGCTAATGACAACTTGACAACCTCAGTGTATATCTAATCCTTTGTAATCGAATTTCTAGTAATGTTTACTTCGATTTTGATGTACCTTTTGGCTAGGGATAATATAGCCCTATAATTTTTGTTCACCTTCCGTCAAGGACAGGCCCTCTATGTGTTGATGAATTGGTGGTAATCTCAATCAAAGGTTATCAAGTTTGAATTGAGAGGTTGGTAAGAAATAAACCAAATAGATGGAAAACGACAGTGCGCCTTTTATGAAAATATAATTAATTAAGCGTTTGGTTTTAATTTCTAACCCTCAAAAAGTATGAAAGCTCTGTTTTTGTAATCGGAAGTCAAGTACTTTCCTTAATAGCGGACAAATCAAATTTTATTGCCATGGGCTGTAGCCGATGTTCCTTGAATGTTTTAGCATTTTAGGGGTTACTCAAGCTCATAAGAATCAATACTTACATCTTCGGTGGTAGACTTCCATATCCATAAATGCCAAAGGAAACTAACAGACAGCAGAATAGCTTGGATACAGATGAGGCAAAAGTTCTTCCACAAAGTAAAAACGAGTAAAACAACAGACTCAAAGCAAGGAAATAAGTAAAAGATTTCTTCTCATCACGCCACAGCAACATGTCTGCAACTGCAGGCAATACATTTCAAGGTCATTCTACAATCGCAATCAAACATTTTACGGTCGCAATCAAACAATATACAAGCGCATATGATGGATCATGTTTGATATGAAGATGTGTTCTAAAATGTGCAAATCCTTCCTGGTGCTAACTTAGTGCGTTTGACGTTATACAGAACCCTGTTCGCATGAGCCTAAGTAAAGCTGTGGACTAAATTACATAATACTTAGTATGGCACCATGCAAGAACAAACTACCATGATGCGTACCACTTGCACCAAAATCAGGCACAAGGATCCAAGCCAAGAAGCCCAGCCCTACCCAGCAAGAACTTTTGTTATACGGAACCAAAAAACATCTGGAACATAACCCCCCACCACCACCACCACCAAAGGAAAAAAAAAACCCTAAAACCAATATATTGAAAATAATGTGTAGCTGATATCAAAATAGAGCACAACATAATATGGTACAACGGAAAACAACCTTCTCCTCCGTTGCCTAGCAGCTTCTCCAGTTTTGATTGCCCATTAGAGTCACTGTAACTTGTGAAAGATGAATATTTGGCTAAATGAGATTGATTTAATGGTTAATGTGACACCTTCCTGTCATGTACACAGGTAATCAGCACTGACGAACCAGATTTTTATACCTTGCATTTTCATGCTTTACAATAAACAATAACTATATGACAATACACTGTAATGCCTACTTCATATCCAACAAAAATCACTAGAAATCATTTTCAAAACGAAAGGAATAGGAAGCAGCCTTCATTAAGCTTCTGCTATGTGCTAGAAGCAATCAAATATTGGGGCCTGACTAGCCAGCCAAGACAACTTTAAAAAAGTTGAGAAGGTTCAATTGGATATCTAACAAAAAGGATGTTATCCATGTAAGAGAGAGGTTTCAAGAGAGAAATGTTAAAATATCAACACCAGCTCAACACATTAATCGGCCCAAGAAAAGTAAAGCCCAACCCACTGAACTTTGGTAACACTTGAACTAGAAAAATCTGGAAAAGTGAAGAGAATACCACACCGACATAGTAACTAGATATTGTATTAGAATAATATGGCTAATTCTAGAAAGTTGCATATAATTCTAGAAAGTTGCATATAATTCCAGAAAGTTGCATAAGCGTGGCTGGAAATGAAGGAGCCAAGTCGGTGGACTTGGACTATGTCGGCTAGGAATTTCTATATATGGGCATGAAGCCTTCATTTATGTAATCAAGGTGATAAAAGAAGAAGAACAAGCAATAAGATATAGAGTTTAAGCTTGAGTAGTTTTTGTGAGGAGTGTGATTGTTCTAGAGTTTGTTTTTAGAAAGTGAGAAAGAGTGTTAGTTTTTAAAAATTATGGGCTTTTCTTTGAGAGTTGTTTTGTTGTAATATTTTGTGAGTTTAATATAAGTAATTCATTTACTTGTAATGTTTTCAACAATTAAATATTAGAGTTGTGTGCTCTAATTTTTCAATAATTGGTATCGGAGTGGGATGGTCAAGAACAGATTCTTCTAGAGCTTCCTTGAGTCGTGAGGAGTTCTCGTCTCTACAAGTTTGCATCTTTAGATCAAGCTTGTTCGGTATACTGCAGTTCTGCCGACACAATGGGTGATCTTCAAGTAGTTGGAGAAATCAAGAAGCTCAACAATCAAAATTACAATACGTGGGCGACATGTATGGAGTCTTATCTACAAGGTGAAGATCTTTGGGATGTCGTTGGCGGTAATGAAGTTACACAACCGAAAGATGACACTAATGACACTTTGCGTAAGTGGAAGATCAAAGCAAGTAAAGCTATGTTTGCCCTAAAGACCACAATTGAAGAAGAAATGTTGGAGCACATAAGAAAAGCCAAAACACCAAAAGAAGCATGGGACACCTTTGCAATACTCTTTTCAAGGAGGAATGACACAAGACTACAGCTTGCGACACTTTTTTCGAGGAGGACTGACACAAGGCTACAGCTTCTAGAGAACGAGCTGTTATCTGTTGCACAATGCGACATGACAATTGCCCAGTATTTTCAAAAGGTAAAGTCGATATGCCATGAAATTTCTGAATTAGATCCTACTTCTGCTATTGTGGATTCCAAGATAAAAAGAATAATTATCCATGGTTTGAGACCCGAATACAGAGACTTTGTTGTCGCTGTTCAAGGATGGCCGACTCAACCATCACTTGTTGAGTTCGAAAATTTGCTTGCCGACCAAGAAGCTATAGCTAAGCAAATAGTAGGGGTCTCACCAAAAAGGGAGGAGGAAATGCTCTATACCAACAAAAGTAAAGGTAGCTTCAAGCAACACATAGGTGGTGGATCTAAAAGAAATGGTGACAAGGTGAATGATCATCAAGGAGAAGGAAGTTCTCGGCCAAGGGGAGCTCCAAAGTATCACTACAACTGTGGTCAGTCCAAAAATATTAAAAAATTTGAGAGTAAATGCTACAACTGCGGAAAGAAGGGCCACATGGCGAAAGATTGTTTGGTAAAAAAAAAGGCCCGCCAAAAGTAATATTGCTACTTCCAACTCACAGGAGAAAAGTGAAGATGATTACGATGCTGAAGCATCTCTCGCTATAGAGGAAGATGAGTTAGCTCTAACAGTAATGACGCATGAACGGATTGACTACAAGTAGGGGTGGGCATTTAAATTGGAAAACAGAAAAATTGAACTAAATTGGGCCGCAAAAAGCGGGTTGACCCAAAACCAGATTGAACTGGACTGATTTGGCTTGCTTCCGGTTCTTATAGTGAAAACCAAACCAAATCAACTCTATATTTTTTTTATTTTAAAAAAAAAAAAATTTAAGCCTAATGCTAAATTTCTAAGCCCATAACTAATCTTTCCCCAATCCAACTCTAAATCACCTCTCTTTTCTAGGCTAAATCACCTCCATTTGCATGAAATTAGGCCATTTGTGAATTTTTAAGCCCAAAAAATGAAAATTTAGTTGGATTTTGTTATAAATAAAAAAAAGAAAATGAAATAGTAGCCTTTTTTTGGAGCTACAATCACTATTTACAGATTACTAAAAAAGGCTTTGAGCGCGTCTTCAAGTTCCAATTCAAAGGATTTTAACCCGCCTCTACACTTGTCTAGACTTGTGATCCTCAAAGAGCCATCCCATCGGAAAAAAATGGAAACTAAACCGACTTATGGGCAAACCAGATCGAACCAGTTTTATAATTTTTTTTTTGTCAAAACCAAACCTTACCGGACCAGATGAATAGTGTTATTCTGGTTCCAGCCCACCCCTAACTACAAGAATGGTTGGATGGTTGACTCAGGCTACTCAAATCATATGATGGGTGATATACATAAGTTACAGAACCTTATTAAGTACAAGGGAAATCATGTAGTGGTGACAGCCAACAACTCAAGATTACCGATAATGCATATCAGTAAGACAGTAATTGTACTCTGTTACAATCCTAACCATGTGCCGGTTCAAGATGTCTACCATGTTTTGGGCATGAAGAAGAATCTACTTTTGGGGCGCATCTGACATCACCAGGCCACTATGTCTTGTTCGGCCCAAGAGATGTGAAGGTGTATCAAGAAAATTAAGCAGAGAATACAATGAAGTTGGGGGTCGCATATCCGAAGCCTAACCATGGAAGGGGATGAGGAAGATGAAGTGATCGTTTTTAAGCCAATAGTGGCTGAGAAGCGGCCTGATGTGGAAAACACTACTTGGGCAGCCTATGAGGGCCTGGAGCCTGGTAAAAATGCTTCTCCTGGTGATCTAAAAGTTAATGGCACTTATGTCGCAGTGAGCGGTTCTTCTATCTCTCTATGAGGTTGTATGATGGAGCAAAGATTATTCTCTGAGTTGGTATGGTTAAATAACGAAAAAAATAAACACATCAGTGGACAGGCCCTCTATATGTTGATGAATTGGTGGTAATCTCTCAATCCAAGGTTACCGGAAACATCACCTCATGTATATATATTTATTAACTATATTAATGATTGTGGATATTAGAGAACTTTTTTCAACGTTAACTTAGTTTGGTGGAGCTGAAAATTATGCTGGAATGAGTTGAGGCTCATCATCTGATGATTGGGAAGATAATATACAGTTGGGGACTCAAAACCGACGCCAATCCATAAAGCTTGTTTTCCTGCTGCTGTTCATCAAGGGAAGGTTGGTTAAGGTTGTTGTGTATGGTTTTGGACAGGTTATGATTATACTCGGTTTGATGGTCATTATAATTTTTTCATATGACAGGATGTTGTTGGTGCTGTGGAAGCAGGGTCTGGGAGGAAACAAGCCTTTGGTTTGCCCATTTTTGCAATGCTTATTGAAAATACTTGTAGGATGTCTATATGTGCCTAGAGGGTGTTAATAGGCCAATTTAATATTATAATCAATATACTTCGGTAGCAGGATTGAAATGGCTTATGAATCCTGAAATGTGCTGGGAATAAAATAAAAGAACACGCAGAGAATTATTTAACGTGGTAAAACCCCACATTTGGGGAAAATCCACGGGACTCCTTAGTCCAACACAAATCCACTATAGAACGATGATTACAAGAAGTACTCACACACTTATCCTGGACACATTCTAGATAATGTTTATCGACTTCTTCGTAACTCAACTTTTGTCACGGGATGATCTTCGACACTCCTTATGTTGAACGCAATACTAGTCACGATTGCTTCAAGCTCGCCGGAGGAAAACCGCCACCACGGTCTTGGTGCCCTCAACCATATGAGTCACCGACATGCATATCAATGCAATATGAATGATGAAAGAATTTGATAATCACAAGGAGCACTTGATGACTTACCAAAGAAAATAAGCACAACAGCTTTTTCAAAAAGAATCATTGTGCTCAACGATTTAATTGCATTATAAAACCACCAAAGAAAAAGAAAAGGAACAACAATCCTTTTATTCAAAGCAGGTTTCTCTCCCTAAGAGAAACCCATGTCATTATACTTGCTGTGCAACTCTGACTCTATAAGCCATTCAACTAAGACTCCTAACTTGATGCAAACAAGGTCTCTTCATGAGACACCCAATAGATGACAACAATACTATCCAATTATGAATATAAATTCTAATTCAATAAGGACTCATAGTGACGACACCAAACAGCCACTATTATTGAGAAATAATTATCTCCTAAAACAAGTGAACTAAGAGATAAGCATGGTGTACGTCACGATAGTAAATGCTAATATTTTAACTTAAATAACAATGGCATCAAAAATAGCTTTAATTATAAATCCTATTTTGAATGCATGATTATGTCATGATTTACCTATTGTCAAGTTTCTCATATGGTCAGGTCATGTCTCGGAAGTATGGGGTTGAGAGAGTTGTGCCAAAACGTCCAGTAACAATTCCTAACAAACTAATTTTCAACCTATGTTAGAGTCTAGAAAATGACAATCCAATTTTCATACTAACATGGAGGTAAGCTCTGTTTTTTAATCGGAAGTCAAGTACTTTCCTTAATCTTGGATTTGAAAGAGGACTTATAAAATCCAGTGCACATTTCAAAAAATTATGATATGTTTACTTGGAATCAAAATGAGTAGGAATCAGAATAAAAGGGATTGGCAATGGGAAGTAATCAAAACAAGGCATTTCCACTAATCTGAATGAGGGATTGCTTGAGAATGATTCCTATTCCATGTAAGCAAGCATAAAATTACAAATACTATATTAATCCGACTCAAACTCTGTTTTTTTGTTTGAAACTTGGAATTAGGGTCTGACTTAATGATTAATAATAATTATTATTATTTTTGGTCGAAACTTAATGCTTAATTTTATAACATAGAAAGAGGTTGGTTTTCTTGTACAATGATTTTCAGTTATCGTTTTCATTTTCATTTTATGACTACTTAGATGAGGGGATTTTGAGGAGTGTCTACTATCTTTGTTAGGTGGGCAGCAAACTCCTGTTCCTTGGAGTCTTTGTATGATATGGACCTCATATCGGGCATTGTACCAGTAATTTTGGACAATTCAAAAATGTGGTATAGGGTGGTGGCAACAAGTATGAAGTTGGGAGCTAGAGGAGCTGCCCATGTGGAAGGAGTTACTCATGTTGATCTCAGCGAGAACAGTAGTTTCTCAAATCTTTTACTCATAAACAGAATTGCAAGACCTCTTGAATGGTAAATTTCTATTTCATTTTCTTTTATTGTTAAAAGCTTTAAGATTGGCTTCCTTGGGATGGTAAAACCTACTTGTTTGTTTCAAGGTGTGGTTCTCTAAACATGCAAATTCGTTTTCTCATTTTCATTCTCTGAAATATTCTTTGAAAACATTCTCCGAAAACATTACCAGACGAGCCCTAAGTTAAGTAAGATATTTGTTTACAGTATATCTCTAAAGAAAGAAGGTTTGACGCAGCAACTCCAAGTCTACTACTTGGACTTGGAGAACTCCTGGAACGCATAATTCCCACTTCACAACAGGATTCCAACTCCTTTCTCAATTTAATATTCTTTTCCTTTTACAATTAAAGTTTCTTTTTCTAATTGTGTTTGGGTTTTATTTCCTTCTTCAATTCTATCATCTTCTCTTTATTTAAACAATCATTTGCCCTTGTTTGCAGGTACAACAAGTTCGTTTCTGAGCATACGGTGAATGACTGGTACCCACTCTTCAATTAGCCAACTAGTTGAATTGGAACCTGAGATTGAAAAAAACCTTCAAGTAATTTGTAGGAGAAAAAGACAAGACATAGAAAAGAAGAATAAACAAGGAGAAGAAAAGATGGCCTTTGTACCGAATGAAACAATGGGAGACCGTGATATCCCAACAATTCCGACGTCACCTTCGAGCATCGTTCTCCCTGCAGCTACCAGGAATTATGAACTGAAAATTTTTCACTTTAATATGATGCCTTCTTTCCTGGATTAAGTTCTGAAGATCCTCTAGCTCATATTAGAGATATTCTTAACATGGTTTCTAATATGGCTTTCATAGAGGGAGTCATTGAAGAACTTCTCAGGATAAAAGTCTTTCCCTACACAGTGAAAGATAAAGCAAAGAAGTGGTTGAACTCCTTGAGGCCTGGATTATTGACTAGCTGGACGGAGGTTCAAAACAAGTTCTTGGAGAAGGTCTTTTCGACTGAGAAAACCGATGCACTAAGGGATAAAATCATGCAATTCAATGAACAGGAAAATGAGTCCTTTTCTGAGGCATGGGAATGGTTCAATAATTTGTTAATACAGTGTCCTCACCATGGTTTGCCTACTCTAGTTCTCATGCATATTTTTTATAAGGCATTAATCATTTCAAGTAAGGCTGCATTAAATAACTATGCAAGTGGATCTATTAAGAAAAAGACGCGAACTGAATGTGAAACTTTGTTTGATACTCTAGCTATCGAAACACAGCATTCTAAAGCAAGAGGTAAGCATGCCGGAGTTTATGAAATTGGTAATTCTAATGCTTTTGCTTCAAAAGAGTAGGTTGATGCTATTACCAGTAAATTGGATGCCTTGCTTGCTATAAGTGGGAAAATTTTAACACAAGAGATTTACTCTATTTGTGTTGTTCCTAGTCACGCCACCATATCACGTCCTTATGGAGTTGATTTTTCAGAATTTGTGCAAGAACAAGCAAACATGGTGAATACCTATAGACATCCTGGCAATGATCCATTCTCCAACATGTATAATTCGGGATGGCAAGGGCATCCCAATTTATCTTAGAGCAATAATCAGAATGTGCAAAGACCACCATCGGGATTTCAACCACACATGAGAAGAAAAATAACTTGGAAGACATAACCACACAACTCACCACAAATACAAATCAATTCATAAGTAGGATGGAGACGACCCTTCAAAACCATGTGTGCTTCCATTAGAAATTTAGAAGTTCAAATGGGTCAATTGGCTAATGCACGCACGATACGTGAGAGAGGAGTTTTGCCTAGCCAATCCGAAGTTAATCCGAAAATTCAAGAACATGTGAAGGCAATTACACTTCGAAATGGGAGGCCCATAAAAACCGTTCTAGATTTAGATGCAAAAAAGCAGCAACAATAGATGAAAACTACGGAAAAAGCTTATGAGCTCCACCATCCACAAATCTCATTCCAAACCACTACAGAAAAAACTGTTGGACCACCGCAACTCGCTGCAGTGAGCTCCACTAGAAATTCAGCAAAAACTGAGCAACCACCATCCACAAATCTCATTCCAAAACCCACGTTTTGCCAATTCCTTTTTCACAATGCCTAAAGAAAAATAAGAAGGATTCATAATTCTCCAAATTTCTTGAAATTTTCAAGAAATTGCAAATTACTGTTCCATTTAGCGAATCATTAGAGCAAATGCCGAGCTATGGAAAGTTCCTCAAGGAAATCTTAAGCAAAAAGATATGTTTGGAAGATACTGAGATGGTGAAACTGACGGAGGAGTGTAGTGCAACAATACAAAGGCAACTACCACCTAAGCGAAAGGATCCATGGATGTTTTCTATTCCTTGCACCATTGGCACTATTTCTTTTCAAAAAGCATTGTGTGATCTAGGTTCTAATATTAATCTAATGCCTTTGTTTATAGCTAAAAGAATTGGTTTTGGGGAAATTAAGAAAACTACTATTTCTTTGCAGATGGTGGATAAATCACTTACATATCCTCACAACATTCTTGAAGATATACTAGTGAAGGTGGATTGCTTCATATTCCCAGCTGATTTCATAGTTTTGGATATGGAAGAAGATGTCGACACTCCAATTATTTTAGGATGTCCATTCCTCAGTAAGGGAAGAATGATAATTGATGTAGAAAAAAGTTCTTTGATCCTACGAGAAGCCAATCAAGAGGTGGAATTCAAAGTTTTTGATGCAACCAAGTTCCCCATTGATTCAGAGTTTTTGGAATTCAAAGCCTGGATGATTGACTTCATATTTCTCTAATACAAAAAGTAAATTGCAATAAAAGTAAATAAACTAGTAAAAACAATGCGAGCAGATCAACAGATAGATCAAAACTAAGGATTGCCACCACCTTGTATCGATTATGGTTCAAAGCAGAGCTAAGGAATAAGTGGCAATCGAGTATAAGATCAGAACTAGGCTGCAAAGGGACCATAATGATCGGAATAGAGCAAAAGGCACTAAGAATGGCTTCAACTAAAGGAATCAATTGACAATCGATACCAAGGAGGCTTGGCAGAGCAATAAACAGTGAAACCAAGTCTTTGACTAAAAGAGCTAGGGTTTTTGTGCAGAGTTTGTTGTTAAAAAATTGTGTCTACTTTGGTCGTGAAGCATCATCTCCTTTTATATGCACGTAACCCTAGGATAGAGAAAGTGCATTCCTATTAGGTTACGGTTAAGATCGAATCATAATAAATTAGAATCAATCTTCTCAATTAATTGTCTTCACCGCCAAGTAATCCTTGAGAATTTCTTTTAATTTAGGTAATTATCATATAAATAATAATTCCTTAATATTAGCCACAGTACGATATTCATTCGATATTATAGCCCAAGCCATGATTTGGCCCAATACAACTTTAGACTTGGTTGTGTAAAAACAGGTCCAAAGAAAGTCACTTATCGCTTATGCTAGTGTTAGAGGTTAGGTTATCTCTCACACACTGCCAATGTGTCATAAGGTTCGAACCCAAGACCACTAGTCAAATTCCTCTTCTATTGGGCTAGACCCCCGTTGGCAAAAAAAATACAATTCTTATTTTAAACTGAATGTCTTTAATACTGGGTGCAAAATAGAAGTTTCCTACTTGTCCTCGCAAGGCTATAAGGCCATCTCCAACCCATGAGGCCAAACCTAAAAAATTCCAAATTATAGCCCTATTCTTCTCCCAACGCAAGAAAAGTAAGGGGCCAAAATTTGGGAAAACCCGAACTTGGGGCCAAATACCAATCCAGCTATTGCCTGGACAGGAAAACTTTTTGGTGGAGCCCACTCAAGGATGATGCAACCTATGTGCAAGGAAGAATCAGTGGGCCCCGCAGCTATTGCTATGTTGTAGATGTTGTCTCGCCACGTGGCAAATGCTGGCAACAATTCAAACATCTCTTCTTCTTTTTTATTATATTCTAATAGTAACCCAAATCAACGATCTAGATTAAATCCAAGCTATTTTAAAAGTAAAAAAAGAAGATCCAACGGTCAAAATAATATTTTAAATTAATCTAAATCAGATGCAATCCCAAAACTCACTCCAAACTCTATAAATACCCACCCATTTCTCAAATAATCTACCAATAACATTTTTTCTATTTCTCAATTTATTTTTCCTTTGTCAATTTCATCAATCTCCTTTCATTCTTGTTGAAGATGTCCACAAAATCTCAAAAAGGTGTGAATGGGAGGTTCGAAGAAGATGAGGCATTGTGCAAAGGGTTGGTTTCCGTCAATGAAGATGGGACTATTGGCACCAATCAAGCAAGCGACACATTTTACTAGGGTGTATATCAAAAGTTTTTGAAAAATTATTCGGGCATTAGTGGACCTGAGTGACGAACATATCAAGCCATTGCTTCTCGATTCAAGACTATCAACCAATAATGTTCTCCTTGGAAGGCATGCTTGACTAAGGCCAATATGAACCCACAAAGTGGCTCAAACCTACATAATGTGGTAAGTACCCATTCTTATTAAAGCTTTAAATTTATATTTGTAATTTTATTCAACTCCAAAATCTTTTTTTTATCCATGCATAGGACGTGTAAGCGAAAACGATCTTTCTTAATGATAATAAGCCTCCGAATAGGCCTTTCAAGTTGTACCATGCTTGGGAAATCATAAAATATTGCCCAAAGTAGAACGATATAAATGAGTCTCCCACACAACGACACAGATGATATCGCCATGCCTAGTCCATGACCATCCTTGCCTAGTCCAAGGCTTGAGGGGCGAGATAAACAAAAGACTGCAAAAATAAAAATAAGAATAAAGGGAAGATGGCTGACCCTTCTCAACAAACAAGGGATAAGTACTTGGAATCATTGGTTGAGCAAGGCATTGCTTTCGAGGAGGATAGGAGACCCGAGCTCAATATATTGGACAAGTTTGTCCAAGATCAAGCTTATGCTTATGCCTATAAGAAGTAACAAGATAAGGAAGCCCAAGAACAAAAAATAATGTCTATGGATGTGTCCAAATTTACTCCAAGAAAGAAGAAGTATTGGGGGGATAAACAAGATGAAATTATGCAAGAACATCCACAGGGTCAACAGTTTGCCATTAATCTTGAACACAACTCAGGGGATTATTATCCAAGCCCCCATGATGGTGGTTATTAGTTTATTCCTATTGGGTTTCATGTATGGTGAATTTAAAGTATTATGTGTTCTCTTTTGGAATAAAATTATATTTGTGGAATTTCAATTTTTTTAAAGATCAAATTGTTCAAAAAATTAAATTATGAAGTTATTTAAAAATATTAAATGAAGAAAAGTTATTCATGAAAAAAAAAATAGACTTAACCATTTTTAAATAATTTAATAAAGCTCCGGATTTTGGAGGGAAAGCCGGTTTGAGTCCGGACAAAACCCAAATAGTTACTTTTTGGAGAGAGGAAATTTGGATTTAAGTCCAAATAGGTTGGAGAAGGCCTAAAACCATCTCCAACCATTTGGGTGGAAACCCAAATTTTCAATTTTGAGTCCAAAATTCTTCTCCTACCCATGTATTTTGGGGGGTGGAAATTTGAGAAATGTTAAATTTGGGGTGGAATTCCAGTCCAAGTTTTGCCTAGACTGGTATTTTGTGGAGCCCAAAGTTTGCTTGGAAGTCTATGTGAAGAAGAAAAGTTGCTGGGCCCCACGTGATAGCTTTGCTGTCTAGCCAGCATATTTGTGCGACATAGCTGGCAGCTTCATCAAAAGTGATTCCAAAGGCTAAATATTCAAAAGTTGTGGTGTTTTTATTTTTATTTTTTATAATTCCAACAACTATATTTTACATCAACGATCATGATTAATTTTAGGCAATATGAATGGTAAAATTTCACATCTTAATGGCTCAAATTTAAATCCAACGATCAAAATAATATTTATAATTAATCTAAATCAGGTTCAACCCCAAAACTTACTCCAAACTCTATAAATAGACATTCATTTGGTAAATAATCCACCAAAAATCATTTTTTTCCTTTCTCCCTTTGTTATATTTTTTCATTCTACTTTCATTCTTGTTGAGAATGGCCCCAAAACCCCAAAGAGGTGTGAATTGGAAACCACAAGAGGATGTATTGTGCAAAGGGTGGGTTTCTATCTCTGAAGATGGGGCTATTAGCACCAATCAATCAAACGACTCATTTTGGTTGTGTGTGTACCAAAAGTTTTGGAAAATGATCCGGGTATGAGAGGAGCCGGGGTACGATCACTGCAAGCTATTGCTTCTCGGTCCAAGATCATCAACCAACAATGTTCTCTATGGAAGGCATGTATACCAAAGGCCAATGCAACTTGAAGATGTGGTGAGTACCCATTTTTTTCAATGCTTAAATTTATAATTCTAATTCTTTTCAATTATTAACTTGATTTTTATTTTATTTCATGGGTAGGATATGAATGCAAAAACACTTTTCTTGAATGATAATAAACCTCCGAATATGCCTTTCAAGTTGTATCATGCTTGGCAAATCTTAAAAGATTGCCCAAAATGGAACGACCTATGTGAATCTCCCACACAAACATTCAAAGATTCTTCTCATAGTGGCAATACAGTCAATTTGAAGGAAGATGAAGATGATGTGGTCATGCCCACTCCAAGGCTGTCGGGAAGAGATAAACAGAAGGATGAAAAAAATAAAGGGAAAGGTGTTGAAGGTTATCTCAACCAAAGTGGAAAGTTCTTGTTTGAATTGGTTCAATAAGGAAATGAGGCAAAGGAGGATAGAAGGCGAAAGTTAGAGCTCCTACAAGAGCAACATGCCTATCAAATCCAATAAGATAAGGAGGCCAATGAACAGAGGATAATATCCATGGATCTATCCAAATTTACTCCAAGAAAGAAGAAGTATTGGGGGAATAAGCAAGATGAAATTATTGAGGCCCAGATGAATACAAGTTCTCCCTACAATCCAGAAGACAACTCTGGATACTATTATCCAAGCCCTCCTCATAGTGGTTATTAATTTATGTTTATTTTTAATTGTTGTTTATCTTTATTTTATAATTGTCGTTTATCTTTATTTGTAATTGTTGTTTATCTTTATTTATAATTATCATTTATCTTTATTTGTAATTGTTGTTTATCTTTATTTATAATTATCGTTTATCTTTATTTATGATTTTCGTTTATTTTTCTATGATTAGTCTTTTTTTAAAAATTCAATGATAAACCACATAATTCATTAAAATCACACAATCACTTTTATAATTTAAACACACAACGTAGTTCATTGCCCCTCTCCTTCGCATCTACAGATGTGGTTGATAAAATCATTTCTTAGATTGTGATGCACTTGCGAAGCACGGACTCTATTATGACGGACCATGTAGTCTGAGATAGTATGTCTGTCTCAGTTTATATTGTACGTGATAGTTGGCTCAAGCTCATAAGCAAGTCTTGCTCTTGCTCTTCTAGATGTTTGTGGACAATTATCATCGTCATTAGATTCTGCATCTAGATCCTCATACTCATCCTCAACAATCATGTTGTGCAATATTATGCATGTTATCATGATTGAATGAAGTTGTTCTTTACGCCACATACTGCAGGTCCCCTAACAATTGCCCATTGAGCCTAAAGTATTCTGAAGGCTCTTTCAACATCCTTCCTATAAGCCTCTTGTTTTTGGGCAAATAGTCTTTTTTTTGGAGTATCTGGTTGGGAAATCATCTTAACCAATATAGCCCAACGAGGGTAGATACCATCAGCCAAGTAATAACCCAGATTGTATGGTCAATTCG